CCCAGGGAGGCTGTGGAGTCTCCTTCTCTGGAGATATTCCAGCCCCCCTGGCCACGGTGCTGTGCCCCCTGCTCTGGGTGACCCTGCTTGGGCAGGGGGTGGACTGGGTGACCCCCAGAGGGCCCTTCCCACCCCGCCATGCTGGGATTCTGGGATTCTGTGAGTCACTGCCGACAGGAGAACGCGGACGGGCAGCTCCCGCAGGTGCTCTGCCTGGTGACCGGACACCGCGCCGCACTTCGCGCTGGCTGCGAGGAGCAGGACAACCCTACAGACGCTACGAATATTATTTCTCCACCTCTGGTTCCATGGGAGATGAAAGTCCTCCCGCCCAGTGCGTTGCACGGTGCCATTGAGATGTTTATCTCTGCCTTCACGCGTGGGGTTGATTATTTACATTTACAGGACGCAGAGCAAGAGCATTCGAATGCTCAGGGCAGTCTCTAGTGCAAAGAATAATTTCTTGTCTATTTACTTTTTCCATCTTGCCACCTTACAGCCGGCCTGCGTAGTTCTCGCTTTACCTTTTCCCCGTGTCACACAATCTCCTTGCGAAGCGCCTTGCTGCGAAAACAAAACGCACCGACGCGCAGGGAATCACGAAGACGCTTCCCGAGCTGCGGGCAGCAGAGAGTTAATGAAAGCTGGGTGGGAGGATGGGCCTGAGCCAACAGACAGCCTGGGAAGTGAGTGACTTCACAGCTCCCGAGAGGAATGTGGAAAATCCGCACAGCCCGGCACCCTGTCTGGGGCTGCGGACTCGTCGCTCCCCGCCGCGGAGCCTCGGGTTTTCTGGTTTCGCCAAGGTGCCGCAGCACTTCGGAGGAACCGAGAGCTTGCTCACGAGAGGCGATGGCTTTTTCCCTGTCTGTGTTTTATCTGAGGGAAGGGCAGTGAAAGAGATGGAAGACGCTCTCCAGCGCGCGCCGCAGCCGACGTTTTTACTTGCGGATGATGTTGTGGCGAAGAAGAGAGACCCACACGGAAACGCAGCGCTGCTGCACGTGGATGTTCAGGGCTCGTTTTTGATATCCAAGCCTCGCTAAGAAAAAAGCTCCTGGCTAAGAAAAAAGTTCCCGAAACTTGGGTTTCCATTTGCTGGAAAGGGTGCGAAGAAACTTGAGAATTCAAACTTGCTTCGGTCGCTTCTCAGCCAACACCGGTGGCAGCTCAGAGAGAGAAAGAATAAATGTGGAGAGCGTGAGAACTCATCTCCTACCTTCTGTTTTCCCTCTCGCGTCTCCAGTCGCTTTGGCAGAATGCTGCTTCTCCTCCC